ATTTATTCGACACCCCATTACAAGTAATCTTACATTCGTTTGTTAAAATGTTCTAAAATATAATTAGATATTCGTTTTGGATAGTGAGTGTATTGGAACCGTTATTTTCTTTTATTGTTATTTGACAATGGTTGTAATTTATGCTCGTAAAATTTCCACTTTTATACCGGTTTTTTCCAACAACGCCTAAGATACATCTTGATAGGAGGATACTATAGATTTCATAGGAAAGAAGTCCAAAAATAAAAGAAATACAACAATCTAAAACAAGTGAACCAAGAAAAAGCTTTTGCAAAAAAAGTGAACAGAAAAATTCTGAACAGCATTCTATCAGCTCAAGGGGAAGCATAAGTACATTTTATTAGACACTTGTCATTGATCAAAACAAGTTTATTAAAGACTTGTTAGATTCCTACAAATCAACAGACACTTCAAATTTGTCCCAAAATGGTCTCAGCTCCAGAAACTTTGACATCAGATGGAGATTCTTCAACATTAAGAGCCTTCACTTTTCCATCTACTACATATGCTGACCATCTACACCAAAACAACAGCTACTCTTATGAGAATTGAAATCTGAATTAACTATATCGAAAGATAAAACACATGTTTTGTGTTCTAATCATTAACTATTTGGTGTTTCCACTGACACCTATAGGATAGGCGTGTCGTAGTGTTCGACACTCGTACGACACGTATCGGAAAGTAAGATAAATGTCTCAAAGAAAAGGTTTTTTCTTTACTTCGACACTTTTTGTATCAATGTCCAACAGCCATATGACACTCATACAACATGCGCGTGTGTGTGAGCTCTATCTTAGCTCAAGGAGGGTATATAACATACCTTTCAGATCGAATTCCAAGCAAACCAGCAGATAGATCAGTAGTTAATTCCAAACTTTTGTTAAAGCTCCCATCAAAGTCTCCATAGAACTCAATCTGGAAAAAGAAAAAAAAGGAAACAGAATCACTCAATCAGTTCCCTTTGAAATAAAAAAAAAAAACATTACATCGCCACACGGAAGAGTGGTTTTGAAATGTGAGATTGCACGATGCTACGCGGTGACTCACAATCTTACATACACTGCTCTTTTCAACATTCCTACTCTTAAAGTAGTAGAAGAAGAGCGCTGAATGTGTTTAAAAGAGTGTGTTTATCTATCGGTGAAGGCTTAAGACTTAAGAGTGTGCTGTTGTCAAGGTCTGTTGATCTCCTGGATTAGTTGGTCCTATGGCTGGATACCGAGTTTCCAAAAGGAAAAAAAAACAACATATCCAACTAAATTGGAAATGAGTTTACAGTTTGAAATGATCTTATAACTGAACAAATTGCATTTCAACAGCCACACCAGTTCGACTACAAAGCTAAGAAAAACTAATCATAAATGCCAACACGAATGAAGGAGGAAAAATCAATAAAAAAAACATATAAAGCCATCAAGAATAGTCAGAAAGAAGCAAGAGAAAAAAGTTACAGCATCTTTGGCTTGAATGTTCTCAGCCCCAAGCATTGACAGTATATGGATCATTAACAGCCACACAAATAACAGAATCAATCCCTTTAGCTTTAAACTTGTCAATATTATCCCTTATAAGGAGGAACATGTTTGCTTGAACAAACTCCAGTGTATGCACCCTAAAACAACCAAAACATAAAATAAAAATCACTACATTAAAAAAATTATTATGCTTATAACAAAATTGTCAATTTAACTTACTGGGAGACCAAAGATCACAACTTTTTTATCCTGCAACATCAAATTAAAGAAAAAACAGCAACCATTAGTGATTGAACAAAAAGGGTTATTGAAAATTGGAATGAAATAGAGGAAGAAGAAAAGTGGTGAGAGAGAACCTTGAAGATTTCCTTGACAGGGGTAGTGGAGAATTTGGATTCAACACCTTGGTCCCAAGTGCGAGCTTTCTGTAGAGAAACATTGGATGTGGCAGAAAGTATATCAGTTCCAGTTGCAACTTTTGCGTAGGACCTGATCCCGTGAAGAACTGAAGACAGTGATTTTGTGGTTGGTGAAGAACGAAGTCGGTTGATTACAGAGGTTGCCATATCGGTAAATTGTCAGAGGTTGTGGTGAGTGTGCGATGTGATGGATCCAACCAGATCTGTTGCATTTCAAAACATTCGGTTATGTTTTATAATAAAGGTACAAAATTGATGTGGTTGAACGTGAGTTAACACTTGTTAGAAGCAAAACTTTAGATTTTTAAGCTATTAAATTCTTCAAACTTAAAATATGTTAAAAACAATAGCCTCTTGGATTAAAAAAAAAAAAAAAAGCCAATGCAATTCCGCTTCATTAAAAAAATAATTTTTATTCCATGGTATGTCACATCATCAATCGTTAGTTCAATTTAATGTTAGGGATGAATCTTATGGATGAAAAATTTTGTAAAGATTATTTATTGAAGAAAATGTTCAGAGAAATTAAAATTGAAAACAGTTATATTTAGAGGGATCAAAAATATATTTAACCCATATAATAATATCATTAGATTTATTTATATACTCATAACGAAAAGCTCTCGTTTATTGTTACATATTTTTTTGTTTAAAAGATTTTATCATCCACAAAATTATTTATGGTAAATTAAGTATTCTCTTGGTAAGTTCTTAAGAGAATTTCTCTTTATATTTAGTAGTTGTGAAAATCACCACTGAAAATTCAAAAATATCATTCAAAAATGTATATTTGAACGCACCTATCAATATATTTCGGATGTGCATCTCTGAAGACACCATTTTTCCACGTTTTAATGTTTAAACGTTGGATTTCAAATTCTTGAGGTAGTTTCGGATATGTACATCTGAAACATGCTGATAGGTGAGTTCGGATGGTGCATATTGGAAACACCCTTTCTATATTAGAATGCTACATGGTCACCTATTCCAACTATTTCATTCATTTTTTATTCCTCCATAACCAAAACTCTCATAAACCTTCAATCATTTTCAATGGATCTTTCGTCTCCAAATCAAGTTTCAAGTGTTTAACTATAACAAAGAGAGCATATAAAGCTACAATTTGAGGTAAACTTCCATTATTTCATCTTACATTTCCTGCATTGAAGCTGATTTGTTCAAAAAGAAAACATCGTCACTTCGGATATCCACTTTTGAATTCAACCTACCATAATTCGGAAGTGCATATCTGAAAAAATGTCTGTTACAAAACAAGAATTCTGTTTTAACATAATTCATGTTTTTTTTAACATGTTAGGTGTAACACTCTATTTCCCCCACTGTAATTTTGATAAAAACCAGAGTAAAATAAAACTCAAAGAATAGGTTGTCACATCATTCAACATATTCAAACTTTGATCAATTATAATTAAACGGATACGTAAAACATAAGAAGAGCAACCTCTTCTAGACTCCACAGCTTCACACTACTCCTGGTTATCTGCACGTTACCCACGTAGAGGCAACATTCAAACAGTAAAGTTGAGATATCATGACAATATAATATGTCATATAATCATGAGTAAACAACAGTTATATCATGCAAGATTTCAAGTTCAACAATCATCAGTTATAGTTCATAACAATTACACAAATACATAATTAATTATCATCACCATCATACAACATGAATCAAACATACAACTCAACTTCATCATATATCAACAATTCAACAGATGCAATGCGACTGACACCGATACAAGATGCATGTGGTACCATCAGGGCATAAGCCTTCTCCAAAATTTCCATATAAGGCCAGAGCATAAGCCCTCAACAAGTTGCCAATACAGGCCATAGCATAAGCCCTCAACAAGTTTCTAATAAAGGCCAGAGCATAAGCCCTTAAAATCTCACAATCTCGAGGATCCACATGTTTTTCACATTTGAATCTCATTCCAATCGCAATCTCAATGATACCATCCCCACATCCCAGTCGGTGATAGAAACTCCTAAATCCTCTTTAACAAATGTTGATACTTTGACATCATAAATATGATTCAAATTCCTCTTGAATTTATTTTTCCTCTAGCATTATTCCTCTCAAAAGCCATCGCCATTCTAATCATTCTTAATTAGCATAAGTTGCATTTATATGCACTTATCTAATCCATTCACATCCTTCCTAAAATATCATTCCCCTAACTCATTCATTCACAATATATTTCACTTGACCTCGTCTCAAACCCACTACAATAATAACCAGTTAAGCTCAACAAGCTCCTACTCTCTATAACCGACTTCAGAGCCTCTCAACGTAGGCCTCTATTTACTTTGGATAGATCCCACAAATACTTTCATTCAAAATAGTATGTTTAAGAAATTTACCTTTCCAAAACATGATTTACGTCTTGACATCCTAAAATACATTTTCTTCCCTTTCGACACCGCAATTCGAATCACGAACTTCAACGTTTCCTTTTTCTGACTCAGACTAAATCAAAATGTCCTTAATAACTTCAGAGTTCTAAAAGTCATCCTCTAATCATCCTCATCTCTCCTCTGAATCTGAAAGTAACTCAATCCTTAATTCGATTATACTGAAGGCATAATCGTCTACCAGTTGATTCATCAAACCATCATTCTTTCGAAGTAGACGTTTAATTTTGATCATCACCTTAGCAGCTTCTGGTAATCTACACACAAGCTTGTACTACCTTCTTTCCTCCAAACTAATAACATTGGAGCTTCTGAAGTGATACACTTTATCTCACAAATTCCTTTCAACAAACCTTCTAATCATCTCTTCAACTCTGCTAATTCTGACGCTGACATCTTGTATGGTGCCATAGAAACAATTCTGATACGGAAGACAAGATCAAAAGTAAAACTCCACCTCCCATTCCACATCACCACGTGACAAATAAATCACTTCTATTTTTTGGAACCATTTTTCAAATAAATTTCATTACGTTAGCTTTTTAACGCTTCGAACAAATTTCGAATCGGACTTCCGAAACTCAAGTTATGAATTTTTGAAGTTTTTGCTGATTTTCATCCCAAGGTACTCGGGTACCCATATATGGTAACCGGGTATCGGCTAAACAGAAGCAGTTTTTTGTCATTTTCTGTGTACAAAAATCATTCCAACATATATTCGAAACCTCATTCTTCTTATAACTCGAGAGACGCATTACTTTCTTCAAAAATCCAGTTTTCAAAAATACCAAAACTCCAATTCTTTCCACAAAACTACCCAAAACGTCATTCTTCTTATAACTCAAAACACATATTACATTGCCAAAACCTCAATTTTTAAAACATCAAAACTCTGATTCTTCTCACAAGACTACCAGTATCTTTGAGTTCTGACTCTGACTTGCAATTCACAATCACCCAAAAGCATCAACAACACCCGACAATTATTTACCTGACTCCAACAACAACATTTACAGTACATCATCACTATATCACCATTCAAAACACCGACATCATACACAATGGTAACTCAATACTGACAACTTCACGATCAACTGACATTTGCTGAAACATCGCAATCATCTAAGCTTCATCTTCCAAGATCTATCTCACTTGCTTAGCTAATGTCCTCAAGGGATCATCAAGAAATTACACACCTCTTGTATATCACTATTCGTTATATTGCTCTATATCCTCTGAGAAGCAACCTTTAATAATTCTCTTTTTCCTTCGGAGGCTACTCTACTTGACCAACAAATAAGAACCTTGAATCCGTACAACTTTCAGGCATGAGAATTTGCATCGACTCGCCAAAACACTTCATAATCACTTGGTTTAATTCCAGATAGTTAACCCTAAGGCTACCATCAAGTTAATCCAACATTTTGATCTAACGACAAGTTGAAATTATCCCCCGGGAAAACATCAAGACTCACCCACAACTGGCACATCATTAGCCATAACATCGCCATCCACTTCTTAAGATGCAAACAAAACGAGTACCTGATCATTCCCGCTCAAGTACACTTCGACCTGACCGCTGGGCATAAATCTCGAATCCGTACTCTCTTCAAAATTGAAAAAACAACACAGTTTCATCAACCTTTGCACTTATGCAATAGACCAACTGTTCACACCTGAACCATCTCATAGATCACAAGCTTCTTCCCCCACTTGTTTCAATCTCACTCCTGCAAATAAGTGATTAAAAAAGCAAGAGAGCACCGACACTGTTTCATACACATGTCGCGTACTAAGGAAAAACACATCGACAATACTCAACTATCACACTACAGACTCAACAACTTGGCGAGACAGACCAACATGCTCTGATACCAATTGTAACACCCTATTTCCCCCATGATAATTTTAATAAAAATCAGAATAAAATAAAACTCCAAGAATAGGATGTCACATCATTCAACATATTCAAACTTTGCTTAATTATAATTAAACGGACACATAACACATATTTCGGATGAATCGACAATATTTCAACATAGTCTTCAAACTTCAACTTTATTAATGCAGCGGAAAGAAATTCATAAATTGTTTTCAACATCTTCAAATCATCACAAAACAACATTTTTAATCAAATAAAATAGAGTCTAAAGTACTCCTACAATACTCCAAAATAAAAACATCAATTAAATAAAATAAGCAAACTTTCATCCCCTCAGTGTTATATATAAGAGTAATGACACCAACTCAAAATAAGAAGAGCAACCTCTTCTAGACTCCACAACTTCACACTACTCCTGGTTATCTGCATGTTACCCACGTAGAGGCAACATTCAAACAATAAGGTTGAGATATCATGATAATATAATATGTCATATAATCATGAGTAAACAACAGTTATATCATGCAAGATTCCAGGTTCAACAATCATCAATTATAGTTCATAACAATTACACAGATACATACTTAATTATCATCACCCATCATACAACATGAATCAAACATACAACTCAACTTCATCGTATATCAATAATTTAACAGATACAATACGACTGACACTGATACAAGATGCATGTGGTACCATCAGGGTATAAGCCTTCTCCAAAATTTCCATATAAGCCCTCAATAATTGCCAACACAGGCCAGAGCATAAGCCCTCAACAAGTTGCCAATACAAGCCAGAGCATAAGCCCTCAACAAGTTGCCAATAC